CATAGTGCTCTAGTAGAGAAAAGTGTCCGTGCATGCCCATGGTACAATTCTACTAACACTTGAACGGGTATTACGATACATCAGTGCTTGTGGTACAATCTGGTATTCCTATTTGGTTCTATAGTTTCCGGCCACCAATCCAAAATCAACTACGCCTCCTGGTCCTGAAGAAGGCAAAATCCCAAACTCTAAACCCTAGAACCGAAACGGCAACCACCCTCAGAGCCCTAAGCCCTGAACCCTTGGATGTCATGTTCACTATAAGCCGGAAGAACTGAAAAACCGAGGGACGATCCGTTAGGGTTCCTCCTTTCAACTGTTGTATACTCCGAAACCCCACTCGAATCATTCAGCACCCCTATACTCGCCCCTATTTTAAACGTTTACACGAAAACCCGTTAAGGACCCATTTATATGAACCCTTCTGAACAGGCTTTCCAATCATTAAGGCCCTCTGCCCCACAAATCCTATGCCCCAAACCCCTAACCTTAAGCCCTAACCCGTAAACCCTAAACCCCCAAACCCTAAGCCTCAAACCCTAAGCCCCAAACCCTCAGCCCTAAACCCTATCCCTTAAGCCGTAAGCCCCAAACCCAAAGCCGTAAACCCTAAACCCCAAACCCTAAGCCCTCAACCCTATCTAGTAGGTCCGGAGCCCCTTCGTGGATTGCCTGGCGACGGCTTCTGTGGAGGGGCATCGTGTCACTGTGCTTGCACTGCTGGGTTTAGGGGTTTAGGGCTTAACTCGGGTTTAGGGCTTAGGGTTGAATTACGAAGTTCTGAGGTACCATACTTTAATGTGTTCTGTTTTTTGGAACCCCCCCCCCCGCCCCCTTCGTGGAACCATTCTGAAATACAAGTTTATACTTGTTTCTCCCTGGTTACTTCAGGGCCCAGATTAGGCCTAAACCCTATCAACGCTAAAAACCCTATACCCTATGAACCCTAAAGCCCTATACCCTATAAACCTGAAAGCCTATAAACTCTATAAGCCCTAAACCCTATAAACCCTAAACCCTAAACCCTATAAGCCCTAAGCCCGAAACCCTACAAACCCCAAACCCTAAACCCTACACTGGGCTGAGGGACTAGAGTCTCCTTGTACTCCACACCCCTAGGCCCCTAAACCCTTAAACCTCCCCTGAACCCCTAAAGATCCCCTGCCCCTTATTTTTGCGGTTTGGGGTTTAGGAGTTTAGGGTGTTAAGGCGGATGTCTCTGGTCTCATGGGGAGGGTTCATGCTGCTAAAGGGCCCGTCAACCCAAAGCCCCCCCAAATGTCGAAAACAAAACGGGAACCCACCGTCCTGGAGCCATGTCCCTCAGAAGGGTTTAGGGTTTGCTTGCCGCTTGCCCCGGCGAGGTCCTTTGCAATGAGGACAGCTTCCTCCCGGTATGGCGAGGCAAAAGCCGCAGCTTCCAGGGCTTCGAAACGCAGCGAGTGGTGCCACTGGGACCCAGAACGTGGCCCTTTTTTCCATGTAAACAAGGGGCCAAGTTGATAACATGGTTCCTGAGGGCTCCTTGTGAAAACTTCAGGATAATGTAACCCAAAACCCTTATCTTCAAATGGCTGAAGTTGTCTATCTATCGATCTATCTATCGACCTATCGATCGACCTACCTACCTACCTACCTACCTACCTACCTACCTACCTACCTACCTTCCTACCTATCTATCTATCTATCTATCTATCTAAACGTACATACATACATACATCCATACATCCATACACCCATACATCCATGCCTTCATGCATTCATTTATTCATTCATTCATTCATTCATTCATTCACTCACTCACTCACTCACTCACTCACTCACTCACTCATTCATTCATTCATTCATTCATTCATTCATTCATTCATATACTCATACATGCATACATGCATACATGCATACATGCATACGTTTATACATGCATACTTGCATGTGTACATACATACATCTCAACTAGTGCACACTTTGGCCTCAAAGGGGTTCCTGCGCAGGTACTTTAAGGCCTTCAGTGTTCACGGATTTTCGGGTTCGTCGACACCCAGCAGAAGCCAGCAGAGGTAGCGGTTCAGCGTTTAGGGTTTAGGGTTTGTGATTCAGGGCCACGGCTTAAATCACCACAACTCTGAAACACTTAAATGGCCGTGCACTAAACAGCCGCAGGAAGAAAATTCAAAGTGGTTCAGAGCTTTGCGCCATGCGCTGTTTTGGATGAAACACTCTCTACATGAGCATACCTGCGCGAAAGTCGCCTCAGGAACCCCAGCGCAATGTACTGGTAGAGTGTTAGCAGCTGGTGTATGGCAGTTCTCGCTTTTTGTTGAACATGGGCCAGCGGACTTTTGGCTCCGAAGTTTGACAGTGCTGGTTCCTCTACTCTACTACATGGACGACATGGATCCGAATAGTGTATAATCATGCCGCTCCCCGTAGCCATATAGCTGCACTACACTAGCCCCCAACGCATTTGTCACTTCTTCAAGCCCCCATTGTAGATCGGAAAGCTTCGAGTTCACAACTTCGCGTTTGGTGAGCGTGGCGCAGCTCACTGGAAAACGAAAGAAATTACTTGGCTCTGAAATCCTAAACCCTAAACCCCACCAGTAAAGCCCCAAGACCCGAAACTCCAATATCCCAGACCTGAAACCCCACCCCGCCCTAAACCCCAAACCCTGACACCCTCACCCCATCACAACCCAAACTCCAGAACCCTAAACCCTGAACCCTAAACCCTGAACCCTAAACCCCAAGCATTGTAAGCCCACAAGCTTCAGCGCTCGGCTGAAACTCGAGGCAGCAGGCGGCGCAAGGCGCAGAAATGAGCAGCTCAGGATCAACTTGTGGGTGTAGGGTTTGGGGTTTATGGTTTAGGGTGTAGGGTTTAGGGTTTAGGGTGGAGGGTTTAGGGGTTTAGGGTAATAGGTTGTTATAGTTAACGGTGTTGAAAAGGGTGTTTTAAGGTGTTATAAGGGGTCTGCAGTGTTTCGGTAAGAGTGTTTACAGAGTGGGCTGCCGACACAGGTGTTCACAGGGATCTTATCGGATTTCACAGGGGCCTAGGGGGTTCTAACTCGGGCAACTCTGAGGCTTTAGGGCTTCAGAGGTCTTCAACTCAGGAGTGAGGCAGTTTTACTTTGGAGGGGCTTCGGTTGAAAGACGGCGCGTGGGTCTTTGGCCTAGGGTCCCATCGACGGCCTCATGCAAACCCTTTGAAGGAGCTCCGAAAGGATTCTTACACTTTCGGCCCAGGTACTACCTACCGCCCCTTCGTCTTCACGGTGCCGGAAGGGCGCGAGGACGCCGAGACGTCGGCTCTTCGATGCACCCGGGCTTCTTAAGCCTATAAATCTTAAAGCCCGAAATCCAGAACCCCTAAACCCCCAAAATCCTAAGCGCCTAAGCCCCTAACTTTTGAAGCCCATGAGGCTTTAAGGATGCTTTGCTCACAGGGATGAGTCCAGGACCTTGGGGGCACCCAGACCTTCCAAAATCACCCTTAAAATTCTGGAAAATTCAAGGATTCCAAACATGATTTAAGGTATATTCCTTAGTTAATAGGGGAATATTTAGGACCCCCAACATGATTTACCATAAGGTATATTCCTTAGTTAAGGGGTTGTGGAAGGTCTGGGCTAGGATGCGGGTTCCGACGCAGGCTTTAGGGGTTAGAGGTTAAGGGCTTCGGGCCTCCATATGGTTTAGAACATAATTCTACAGGTCGTATACTTTCATATATCCCAGTACCATATCAGGCTTATTCAGGCCTTCCTGTTTAGCACCCTTTCGCACCCTTTAGCCTAATCAACTGAAAGATGGCGGCATCCTTCTAGCCTGTGTTTGCGGTTCAAACTTCAGTGACTTCAGGCTCTTCGTAGTGTTATCTCCCATGTTTGTTTCCCGTTGGTTTGTTGGTTCACGATCCTTGTAGTACCAGGAGCCGCAGACTGTACCTTAGACTCTCTAAACCCTAGACCTATAGACCCTAAACCTAAGCCCTACACCCTAAACCGCCAACCCTAAACCCACTCCTGGTCACGAAGTCTCAGGCAGAGCCTGTAATTCTAAGAGGATCTCTGCCCCCACAGAGTGGGTGGAGAAGTCCGAATCGGACACCCCACATGCCTGACACGGCTCAACCTCAACGTTTAGGGTTCTTTGGGTTCAGGCATAACGCCGCCAAACCCTAGGACCCTTAACAGCAAATCCCCAAACCCGAAACCCTGAGTGCTTCCAGCTATATAAGTCAGCCCTGAAACCTTCGAACCTTAGAGCCCCCCAGCATCTCAAAGCCTCAACACCCAAAATCCCTCAAACCCCAAGCCCTTTCTCCCTGAACCCTAAACCCTAAACTCAAAGGTGTCGAGGTGGAGCTCTTTCGAGCTGAGAAGGCCCCCACACGTCGATTTTGGGGGTTTCCGAAAATAGGGGACCCCAATATAGTACCCGAAATAGTAGGATCCTTATTATAAGGACCCCAAAATAAGGTACCCTAATTTTCGGAAAGTCCCATTTTGGGAGGTAGGCTTATCTTAGTTCCCCAATACCCAACCTTTAAACGTCGTGGGTTCTTATAATTTAGTAGTAATCTGAAAGTTTAACCTTTTATTTCCCTGGGTTATTAAGGGTGAAGGGTTTATGGGTCAGGGTTTTCGGGGCTCTGGGGTTGAAGTTTTCAAGTTTATGGCAAGGATTGAAGGTTTTAGAATTGGGGTGACTGGCTCGGAGAAGCGTCTGTCAAGTAGCGGGGTCCGGAGAGTAATTATTATTGTAGGTGCTAAGTCCACAACCATCTCAAAAAAAGGGCTAGACTCGGAATCTGAAGGCCAAATTCCCCTAAAGCATCACGAACACCTTCTGACTCGAGAGCCCCGACTGCACAAAAAGACAAAGCTAGGATTGCGTGTTGGGTTTCGGGTTCATAAGGTGTTGGTTAGGGGGTATTTCCTGTGACCTGGGGTTCAGGATCGAAAAAATTTGGGTTCAGGATGTTAGGTGGTTTAGGGTTTAGGGTTTAGGGGTCGGTGTCGGATAGACAGAGGGCATTATGGTGGCTTTCGGCATGTCTCGGACTTAGACTCGAAGCCCTAAGCCCTAAACCCCCTCCCGAAGCCCTACACCCAGTAGCCGACCTAAACGGTCATACCCTACCCCATTTTGGTGGTATCTACTTTTTCCATATAACAGATCCTTACCATCAAACTGGCTACCCTAAACAAGGCTAGGGTACGACTCTCAAAGCCTAAGCCCAAACCCTGTGGTGTAAACCCTCAGAGTGTTGCGGTTTAGGTTTTGGGTTTAGGGTTTAGGGTTTAGGGGCCGTAGGGGTTCGGCTTGGTTCGCCTGATTAGGAGCTGGTTCCATGGCAGCGCGGGCGCGCCGCCTGCGTGCAGAATCGGGTGGACAATCCAACCAGGTGCGAACCTGGACTTCTAAGGAAGATAGAATGACATAGAAAGGGTTCCTTGCATTTTAGTTACGATATAGTACCCCAATTCCCTATTCTGATGATTATGGCTTTTAGAGACTCGGAAGTCTTAACTTTTTGTTCTGCGGTTATCTACGGGCTCTGTGTTTGGACAGGGAAGTTCTCGTACAATTCGGCTTCCCACTGCGAGCTTCCAGGCAGTACGTATTCCATCGTAAATAAGCATTCGCAGTCGGAACCTTAAAAGCCCGAAATCCTAAGCCCTAAACTCCTCAAGACTGGCAGCTGTCTTGCAAAGCCGCATGAATGTTCCTTCTCTACTCCTCTGAGTACAACATGATGTGCCCCAGACTTCTATCATAATGAGTTGGGCCCAGGTTGAGGGTTTGGGTCCTTGTATTACGCTCTCCTGATCCCTAAACCTCATATGGGTGTTAACTCTACTTGATGAGGATTCGTTCTGATGGGTGACACGTTTAGACCTCAGGCTGCAATAATTACCCTGCCTATACCTCGTGGTTGATTTCTTGCATTTGTTGTTCACGGAGGGCTCGCATAGACTAAGTACTGTGTAGTGTAATCATCTCTTTGTAGCTACAGGTCTGTAGTGATCAAGACTGGCGAAATGATCCGGCTTAGCTTCACACTGCGAGATCTTATCTTACGCTGGGCATGAAGTCTATCAGCAGGGTTTAACATTTTTTTGCTACTTCTACCCACCAATAATATTCCGTGCACATGCACAGCAGAATGCAGCCATACATCCATAAATCATAAAGCCATCAACCTTAAACCGGCTAAACCCTAGACTCTTATGAATCGTAAACCCTCGTAAAGTAATTCTAAACCCTTGTTAACCCCTAAGCCCTAAGCCCAAACTGCTGCAATGGTACCGGAGGGCAGGGGCCTAAAAATTAGCAAAACTATTTTGGGGGCTCCTTATGATAATTAATAGTATAATGGGCCCAAAACCCCATTCTGATTATTAAGGCCCCTATATTACATCTTGGTTGAGGCCCATCTTGGCGACCCACGAGCGCAAGAATTACGAAGTCAGTGGCGAGGACAGCTCAGAGGGAATTTTTGCAATGGGTTTAGGTTTAGGGTTTGATGGTTTAAATTTCGGCTAGAGTCAGAGGGTTTTATGGTTTAGTGTTTACTGTAAGGTTTAGAGATCATGGCTTAGGGCTTCCGCCACCATGAAAGACGGAGCCTGAATTGCATAGGCTTGTATGACCACTGTGCAACTGTCATGTTGGAGCATCATAAACTCTCATCGTCAGCCGCCCTGTGAGTCGCAGCTGGATGCTCAGAGGGCTTTGGCCTTCACAGGGTTTCTGGATGGGCAGTTCCGGCCAAAAGATGTACCATCAACCTTACCTTCCCGCAAATCCCTAGCTTTTTCAGGAACAGTATGAGGACATCAAAGCAAGGAACCCTGAACATGCAGGCTTCTTAGTGTAGGGGTCCTTCTTCAGCCCTAACACCCTTTGAAAACCCAACCCGTACTCTCAAGATGACGCATGTTCATGTTCGCGAAACGAGCCTTCATGAACAAGCTCAAACCCCGCCATGCCTATACCCTTATACTATGAATCCTTACATAGTATATGAACCTTAAACCCGTTTAGGGTTCATTTAGTCTCTAAAGGCCTCGGTCGTCCAGACCCCAGCCCAGACGCCTGAGACTCCCAAAGCCAAGCGAGAGGGTTTGGGGCGTGCAGGGTTTAGGGTTTGGGTCGGGTTCTAAACCCTATAAACCCTAAACCCCAAAGTCCTAAGTCCCTATATCCTGAAATCCTACAACCCAAAGCCCCCAGATCGATCCCTAAACCCCTCTACACTTAAAGCCATCAGCCCTGACCTTGTATGGCACCCTTTTAGAACCAAAGCAGTTTCTTTACAGAGCCCCTTAGATTTCCTGCATATGACCCTGATCGCGCGCCTGAAGGCCTGAAGTAGAGCTTAAGGTAAGGTGCGCAACATAGTGATCCAGCCTCCTGTGTGAAGCAGTTGGGTTTAGAGGTCGGACTCATTACCAATGATATAAATCCTGCATTACCTTAAGGACCCTAAACTATGGGAACTATGGTATATTCAATATTATGGGGTGATGCAGGATTTAGATCATCAGCCGTAGTACATAATGGCGTCCCCTTGTGGCCGCTGCACCATCTTCTCGGCCGACCCCTCTTCGCAAGTTTTACGCCCCTGTACAATCCCCAAGCAGTCGATCCCAGGCCTCTGAAAAGCCTAAGCTTAAGCCCTCGAGGCTAAAAACACCTCCAACCCGAAACCTTCAAACCCTAAACCCTTGAACCCTTTATAAACCCTAAAATCCCTAAACCCTAAGCCCAAGGCCCTAAACCTTAAGCACTAAAGCTCTGAGACTCTAAGCCTCTTAAGCCCACATCCTCAAACCCCTGAGCCAGACACCTCCAGCCTCCAACCCTAACCCCTACGCTGCCCTGCACCTTAAGCCCCCAGAGGGCTTAGGTTTTTAGGGTTTCAGACCCCCTGCAAGAGGCTTGAAGGCTTTCGGGATTGCTTCTTCATTCAGGGTTTAGTACATGTCGACTTAGCTGGCCGCAGGGTTGAACCCTTAGGGTTTAGAGTTTAGGGGTTTAGGGATTAGGGTTTAGGGGTTTCCCCCACACCTTAAGCCCAAGAGGGCTTAATTACTATTAGGGTTTCGGGTTAAGCCCAAGCCCCATACACCAAGCCTTAAACCCTAAACCCCCTTAACCCCAAATATCCTACCTGTTTATGGACTCATAGAAGAAATCATAGCAAGGATCCCTGGAAAGGTAGGTTTTACAGGGTCCAGATAAGCCCTAAACCCTAAACGCCTACACCCCTAAATCTGGTAACCCTAAACCCCTACAGCCCAAACCCGAAACCCCTCAAGCCTAAACCCTAAACCCCTAAACACCTAAACCCTTATAAGTCCTGCACCATAAAGCCCCCAATGGAGGCTTCCGGGGGGCTTTTGGGGACGAAAGCCCCCGGAGCTTTGCAGGAGCCCATAGCGACCAAGCCAGGGGAGCTCGGCCTAAAGTTATAGTGAATCCACGAAAGTTGGAACATGGATTTAGGATGATTGGTGCTGGGATTCCCTATACTTTAACCTTAAGGGCATGAGGATAACGATGTTCCAACTTTCTGGCTTCCACTGTATGTAGGTCTCGAAAGGAGATTCCATGGAGTTTTCATGAAGGTCTGCAGGGTTTTGTGTTCGATTCTGGGGTGTTTTTTTTTTTTCGGGGGCATTCTGGAGGGCCGGCATCATGATCAGCCTTCCTGCTTCAGAGGACTGAGGGAGTGTTTTGGACATTGTGGAACCCACCGTAAAGGATTTCTTGCATTGGTTTTGGGGACCTCTTCAAGTCGAATGAAGACCCACGGAGCTTCGTAGAAGCTCTGCACACCCTTACCCAAATGGTCCTAGGTTCTGTTATGGGGGACACTTCCCTAAATCATAATAGTCATTCCTTATATAGAAACCCTACGTTCTACTATATCGGTACTTTGGACCCTTTGGGTTATGAAACCCATGATGAAAACGCTGCAACAGAAAAGCTTAGCCGAGGACCCTGTGACCACGACGTGGCGGGCAGGGGGTGGCTACCTCTGGCAAGGAAACCGCCTTCTGGCCACGAATGGCAACGATTCGTGATTTATGCTTTGGGGTTTAGGGTTTGGAGTTGAATGTTGCATGGACGTCTCTGTATACCCCATAAATCCTAAACCGGCCCTAGTGCTCCCGAGACCCGATATGCTCAACCTCTACCTGGTCCTTTCGGTGACTAAGCGTCGTGATGCGTCGTAGCTCTAGTTAAAGGCTGAGGGATCACAGGGTTTTCAGGGATTTGTAGCGCTTAGGGTCTATAGGGCTTGGGGTGTAGGCTTACCGTGTCTTTCGACTTCGAGAAGAACGAGGAGGATGCGGATACCCCAAGGCATAAAGCTAAACCCTAAACCCTTAACCCCTAAACCCTAAACCACCCTACCAGCTAAGTGTCCTCACGATCCCTGAACTAAGCCTAGAGATGCGCAGCCCTCAGCAAGATCTGCGACGAAGCCTCACTTAGGTTTATGTAAGGTATCCGTATATTTCAATATACAAAAACCTCTGCATCGAGTTACGAAGGTAGTGTAGGAGCCAGACAGTACCTTCCAGGCTCAGTACAACCTGGTCTGCTGGAGTTGAAGTGCATCTACAGCGGCTACTCCTTGTACACCCTAGCCCAAGCCACAGAAACTTTAAATCCTACAAACCGCCACGGTTCAGGGTCTAGGGCCGTTTACCCAAGGGGTCCAAAGTACCGATATGATAGAATGTAGGGTTTCAATATAAGGAATTACTATTATGATTTAGGGAAGTGTCCCCCATAGCAGCACCTAGGACCCTGAGGGAAGTATAAGGGGAGAAACGCCGCAGTACTGATGCAGGCTCGTATGTCGTTACACCTTTGTGCGCACCAAACCTCAAAAGCCCTGAACCCTAAACCAAAAGCTCTAAGCCCAAAGCCCAAGGGGTTAGAAAAAAAGGCCCAAAGCCCTAAACCCTAAACCCCTAGGCCCCCGTAAGCCCTAATGGCTCCACCCTGAGGCCCACTAAGTCGAAATTTACTACCCCCTGAATGAAGAAGCAATCCCGAAAGCCTTCAAGCCTCTTGCACGGGGTCTGAAGGGTTGACCAACACGATTCTGAAGAGTTCCTTGCTTCAAAGATAGTATATAAGATATCCCGGAACCTTATGCTAATTTAATTGTGAGGGCCCCATAATTAGCTGATCTAAGGAAAGATGAGGGAGAAGCTCAAGAAGGCAAGACTCTGAGTTGAGTGGAGACCCTTGCGCAGCCTTCTTCTCCGGTGTTGGGGCTGGATGTCGTAGGGCTCCCTGGGTTTAGGGGTTCTTATAGAGACGAGATTCTGAAAGGAAGTCTCGACACCAGGTCCTTGGAGGTTCAAGCCATGAGCTCTAGGGGCTTTATTTTAAAGCCCTAGTGGGTACACATGTACCCAAGTAGTATATACTTTGGCCTTAAAGTAGTTCCTCTATATCTATATCTAGATCTAGATCTAGATCTAGATCTAGATCTATATGTATATCTGTATATATATATATATAGATATATATATATATATATACATACACACATATATACATATATATATATAAGTACTTTGGGGGGCCCATGAATACACTATTTGAGCACGTGGACCCATGGGGAAGTTTCGGGTTCGTCCGGTTCAAGTTCAACGAAGGACGAGCAATTCCAGTAAGACAAAGCACAAGAGCACTCTATAGCGTCTTTTGGCCCATTGGAGAGCTTGCATATAGACTTGTTGTGGGGCTTAGATATTTGGGTTATGATGAAAAGGTTTTCACTTTTTTTTGGATATGGGTCAAAAATAGGGTTTAGGGTTTATAGGGTTCAGGGTTTAGGGATTTAACTAGTACAATGAGATAATTTCATGTACCGATATCTACTCCTTGTGCGCTTTGTGTACACACTCTGGCCCGCATCTACCCCAAAACCCTACTCTAGTTGTAGATGCCCCTGTGCTCAACTCCTAGAGACCTCCCCACAATGACCCTGATTTAAAGGAGCCTTACACCTGAAACCCTAAGTTAGCCTACACCCTAAAACCCTAAACCCTACAAGACGAGCTCAGGGAGACTCGATTGGGCGAATTGTGATCCACTACGTCGGCTTCGATCAGGCGAGCCGACTCAGGCCTGTTCTTCCTCAGGGCCCTAGGCGGTTTAGGGCTTAGGCTTTAGGGTTTAGAGATTAGGCTTTAGATATTGGGGTCGAAGAATTACTACGTAAGTAATTACGGTTGAGGTCTGGGTTCAGGTTTTATCTTGGGGTCGAATGGTTTCTGCATATTACTACTTTGAGTTCTTACGGTTCCGGACGAGTTCCTGTCATTCCTGAGGGCTGTGTCTTGGAATGACAGTAAGTGACACCGCAAGACCGTATATTCCAATTATGAAATACCTCAGTAGTCTTCTTCTGCTTGTGCCAGTTGCTGAATACGCACCCAAATCGTCCAAAGTACCGATTATAGTAGAATGTAGGGTTTCTATATACAGAATTATTATTATGATTTAGGGAAGTGTCGCCCATAACAGTGTCTAGGACCCTTTGGGGCAACCTTTAACACGTTGGTGTACAGAACTCTGGAATGGAAAAGGACAAGCAGCTCACAAAGGGGTCTAAAACATTACCAATCTCATCCCTCACAGGGTCCGCTATGAAGTCGTACTTTTATTCATCTGTCCCCAAAACACCCCATGCTCTACTTATGAAGGCCTTACGCCCTAAACCCTAAACCCTCTTTTTTTGGGGCCAGGCCTAGCTCGGATCTTAGGGGCTCGGGGTTCACATGCTTTAGGGTTTAGGGCCATACCCTTAGGCTCCATGGTAGTTCCTTTTTGGGGGGTTCCCTTATGGAATCCTAAATATATGGAGCCTATGGGTAGGGTTTACCCAGACCCAAAGGAACCTACCCTTTTCGGGTCCTTCTTATGACTTACTTACACAAGTCCCCTTAAAAAGGCTAGTTATTGGGTCCAGGTAGGGGTTGAGCGTCCGGGATTCAGAGTGTGCAACATCGGGTTCTTCGAAACTGCATGTCTTTTCCGAAACCATTACTAACACACCTCCCCCCCCCCAAAAAAAAAAGTAAATCTGAAACCCGTATAACCGACTTAGTGACCCACATGAACCGGCCTAATAACCCTCCCTTCAGGAACGCACCTTAAAGCATAACATGAAGCCTTCTAGACTTGGAGGTCTTTGTCCATAAAGGCAGGGTAGAACCCCTCATGAAACCTAGACAGGCCCTCACGAAGGCACGAAAATAGGGTTTAGAGTTTGGGGTTCAGGGTTTAAGGTCCGAAAAACTTTTATAGAATTCTTTTATAGAATCCCATAGCAAAACCGTATGTAGCTCAGGGCTTGACATTGAACCCTAAACCCTATAAGCCCAAAGCCCTCAACCCTAAGCCCTAAGCCCTATAAACCCTAAACCCAAAGCCCTCAACCCTAAAGCCCTAAAGCCTAAACCCAAAGCCCTAAGCCCTAAACCCTAAAGCCCTAAACATCGTTGCTTTATGCATGCCCGGCAATGTCTGCGGTAGTCTCACGCGTACGCTGGGGACTATTGGTGCAAGGTGAACCTAAAGCCCTAAACCCTAAACCCAAAGCCCTCAACCCTAAACCTCAAGCTCTTTGTCGGCCGCAGCAGGCCACTACCGAGAGCTTCGAGGCTGATCTCCGAGCTTGGGGGGTGTGGAGGTTGAGGGGTTTTTGGGTTCAGGGTGTAGGGTTTATATGGGGTTTAGGGTTTAGGGATTCATCAAGCTTTCAGGTTCTATCGAGTTTTACATTTTGGTTGTAGGGCTTCATGGCTTTCCGGGTTCTATCCTTTGTTGTAGTGTTTTATTGGGTCTCGTGTGGTCTACAGGGCGCTGCAGGGTTGTATCGCGGTCTACAGGGGGTAAGGATTGTTTAATCGCAAGAGGATCGTTCCTAAACCCTAAACCCTAAAACCCTAAACCCTAAAGCCCTAAACCCTAAAGCCCTAAACCCAAAACCGTAAACCCTTTTTAAACCGTGTGCAGAGTGAGCCGAAGAAGACCAAGCCCACGCAGCCAGAACAGAGAGGTCTGAATGCTGACATTATAAGCCTATCCCCTTGAAGTCGAGCTCCTATATGGGTGGTTCTCTAAATAAGAGATTTTGGGGTCCTTATAATGCGGGTGCCGTACTATATTGGGGAGCAATTACAGGGACCCTAATTTAGAGAACTAGCCATATACTGATACTGCCCGAATACCTATGTTGCTCAGAACTTATTGCAGTCCTGAAAGTGAACCGTGACACCTTCTAGTCGTCAAAGGATGATTCTGCCATGACCCCTAAACCCTTGCTTTCAAAGCCGATTCGTTCATGAAGACCGCCCAGCCTGCAAGTTATTTTTTGTTGGGGGGGACTCGGTTAGGAGTTAGGGGTTTTAGGACAGGATAATTTGAGATCTGGGGCTTGGTATTCTTTGAACACCCTACCGTCCATGTCCCCGTAAAAGTAGAATAACATTTAGACTGCAAGGTTTAAGGTTATCGACACCCCAAAATCTGCTATGCCAAAACGGCTCTAATTCACCACCCCAAACCCTCTTCTTCTATCATGAAAGCCTGTACATGAAGGTGTAGTGAAGCCCCACGAAAACAGGGCAGATCCGGCGCCGTCGTGGGCTGGCGCTCACGGTGCGGCCCCGGCTGTTCGTCTGCAGAGTTGGCTGTGAGGTTCCAGGGCACGGTTTTAGGGTTGATCTGAAACCCCAAGCCCTGAACCCTAAAGAACATTTCTGGTTGTCTGATTCCACAGATATCTCTCTGTAGAGGTTAGGGCATAAGGGGTCATGTCTTGGGGGGCATAGGACATGGGGTTTAAGGTTATTTATCATAGGGCTTGAGGCTTAGGGTGCAGAAGTTCAGTTTTACAAGGTTTGCATGTACTTCCTATGATTGAACCCTGAGGACGATGACTGTAACAAGTGTCGATTATAGGGGTCGCAATAGCTGGTAATCTCCTTAAAGCCAGTTTCAAATTACAGCATCTTGCACCCTCTCTTCTATTCATGACCTGAGGGCACATGTGTCAGCTTCCAATCTAATTCCTTCGGGACGGATTCTGAAGGGTCATGAGGTTGAGACACAGGCAGTGGGTTAGGGCTTCACGTGTTTAAGGGTTCAGGGTTTAGTCTATGGAGGTTCCATGTCGCTGCTGCTTCATCCTGTTTTTGTCTGCTGCTGTTGCTCCAAATCCTTGTTCTCACCGCGATAAATCCTGCCGGAACCCTTAACACCCCAAACACAACACAGGCAGACGATTCGCTTGGCCCTCGGGTCGTTGTGGATGTCCCGAACGTTGCGCGCTATTTCGCTGTTGGCGGTGCTCGGGGGAGGCCGAATTTGCGATTCTATGGCTTCGAATGTTCATGGTGGCAGAAACCCTATATACGGGTCCAAGTTATACTCTCCCAAATACTGCGACACTACTATACAATCCCGAATACTGCGAAGCTACTATACAATCCCGAATACTACGAAACTACTATACAATCCCAAATAAATAATACGAAACTACTAAATTATCCCAAACCCAAGTGCCCAATTATTGGGTCCTTCGAACCCGTAGAGTCTTAGAGTAGCCCCTCAGCAGTAAACCCCCATGGTTCCATCGGGAATGATGGCCCATTTAGGGCTTAGGGTTTAGGGTTTTGGGTTTAGGGTTTTGGGATGACGCATTCGGTGTCGTCACCAACGGCACGCAGCATCACAAGTAATCACGGTCTCCGAATCAAGAGATGTGCAGACGGTTTTACAATTACAGGTACATGTTGAGCGCATAGGCCCTAAACCCGAAACCCGAGAACACTCAGACCCAAATTCCAGCTCAAGAATCCCATGGCTTACATGCTCTTGCTGCAAGCTGACCGGCTCGAGTGCATCATGGCCTTGTGTTAACCTTTCCTCTGCCCTGACGAGCAGACAACCGGACCCTGGCCCAGAAGTACTACCTCTTATCCGGTTTAGGGTTCAGTTTAGACTCTAGATACTGCCTCAATCTGCCTTGTACAATACAACCATAGTTTAGTTGTTCTCCACTCCATCACATTTCATCTTATAGACACACCCACATATACACACACACACACATACGTATATATATATATATACATACATACATACATACATAGAGTTGTTCCTATTTGGAGCCGATAAGGGACAGGATCGGCCATGAGTGGTGAAGGCAAAGTTCTCACGAAGCCTGGCGGCCACCAGCTGGATCACATTGGTCTCGCGGTGAACGACCTGGCGACTAGTTCGTTCTTGAGCACATTTCCGATGTCTACTTACGGTTTGGGGTAAAGGGTTTAGGGTTTGAATATTAAGTACGCTTAAGTAATTATGTCAAAGTAAGGCGAAACAAGAACTATGGTTTACAGTCTTGTCTGCAAGAACAGCCCAGGATAAAGGTGTAGCGCGAGTAGCTGAACTCACCGGCGTGCAGCCCATCGTGCACCCACCGGAGCCGAACGCGCCTTACCAGAGCGCCAGCTTGAAGATCGGAGAGAAGCTCGGTGGTACCCGGGATATTCTATACTTGTGTGTTCCTGAGCCTAAGCCCTAAACCCTAAACCCTAAGCCCTAAACCCTAAACCCGAACCCCTAAACCAGAGAACATAGGAAGTCATTCTTGGAAATCCTGGGTCCGAACCTGGCGCATGGCGGCTTACATCCATTAAAGTCACTGCTGCGAAGCATGCCTCCAGATGAGTTGACTCTTTGGTTCTGGTATGTTGGGACGGACGACTTCGACAAGTTCGAGTCGAAAGTAGTTGCGGGGGGGCGATGCATCGAAAATAAAGTCGTCCAGGATGAGCCTGGCATTAACGACGAGCACTCCACCTATGTGCGTGGGCAGATTGGTCCCGGGTTTGACCCGGTGTTCCCAAATGCCATCCAGTGGAAGACCCCGCCGAGGACGGAACTGGATACGGGCATGCAGATCTGTCCTCTGAAAGACTTTCGCGTCACAGCCAGTGCCCACGACGTCGTCGGTACATTCTTCAACGCCACAGGCATAGACACTTCTATCCTCAAGCAGAGCGGGGATGGTAAGTCTTACCTGTCGCTCACGATTTCAACACCAAAGGGCGATGTGCAGTTCAAGAGCGAAGCCAAGCAAGTGACGATGTTAGGAGTGCTTTACACATGCTTGATGGATGTGTTTCGTGGGGCTGCATGCTGCACTGCGTAGCTCCTCGTATGAACTGTCCCGAAAATGAGACACAACATGACGGTTTCTCGGTGTCAGACTACACAGACTTGTCTTGAAGCGAAGGCTGCGCTCACGATCATCTTCTCAAGAGCAAAAATCATGTGATGATTGGACCATTTAAGCAAGACCGTATCAGGTCGTTTGTATATTTCTGATGATATGTATGAGTTATGTTATTGCTGAAAACACACACACTGATGCTGACGGATGTGTTATTTGTGCACGTACTTCTTTGTTCATGTATTTATTCGTTTGTCTATGTGTTTATTTGTGTTATTATGTTTCTGTTTGTTCTTGATCGTTACTTGTCTATATATGTCTGTAGCGAGTGGTATATTGTCTTTAGCATATTCACCTGTTGCCGTTGTATATCTACTTCTTTCAAATTATGTATTCGTTTGTTGTATGTAGATGTCTCATCTCGTACGGCCTAAATCAGCATAACACCTGCGCTCTATCCGAGACTACCAGTGCTGTGAGAGTGAGCAGACCAGCTGCGTTGTCGTGAGTTCAGCAGCTTCCGGAAGCTTGCTTGGGCAAGCGCATTGAGGGTGTGGTTTTTTCTCTGAAGGAACACTTCAAGGATCAGCGAACTTAGTCAGAAGGTCAGTCTTCGGGTAGCACGCAGCTTGATTGAAATTTGCTAAGTCCGCTAAACCTCAGAGTGCCTGTTTCCTCGGGTTTTGGCCTGGGTGTCCCAGCCACAGAATCTTAGCGCAGCGAAGGCGAAGGTGTGTCATCATCTGCCGAAGTGAGATTTCGCGTTTTGTGGTCCGTTGACTTGTAAGACTTTTAAAGCAACTTGAGACTGGTGGCGTGCAATCGACTGATGGAAACTCAGCGTCGAGATTTCATCAAAACGATCATGCATGGGCAACATTGGCATCCGGAAAGGAGCATGTGCGAATATGTTCACACTTGCTGCCTGTAGTGGGTGGACATGCGCATGCATTCCTGGTTGACCAAGCTTCAGGGCTGCAACACATTGTGATCCCGCCTCATTCCCCTAAACCCGACCCTAAACTCTAAACCCTAACCCCCAAACCCTAAAAAGAGCCTTTAAAACAAAAAAACCTAACCCCTAACCCTGACTAACTCTAAACCCGCAATTGCACAGCTTTCGGCCCGACAGCAAAGCCACCACATCTGCAGTCTCCCAAGAAATCGTTTCGTCGCTGCCATAGAAGCCTAGGGTTCTAGGGTTCAGGCTTTAGGGTTTAGGGTTTCGAAACCCCAGCACTAACCGTCCTTACTCCGGCTTCCAACTTTTCGAGGTTTACTCTGTAGTACATTAATCGTACCACTGTCGGCTTGTAACTTTCTAGTAACCGTTATGACCCGGACTTATGGTTTGATGGCAACGCTTTCAAGGACGCTTATAGTATCATAGGAATACGAAGCCTCGCAGTAGCCTTACATGGTGTTCTAGTAAGTAGCCCTTGTGCTATAATCCCGAAGGACACAATGACCCTGAAAAGCAGGGGCCCTGTACCCCTATACTATGAATCTCTTTATGGTATATAGCCTTAGACCCTTTTAGGGTTCATTTCGTCTTTAAGGACGATAACTTCCTATAATGATTTATCGACCAAGCCCCATTGGAATCATCAAGGGACCTAAATTACGTAGGTAAGGGTGTGCTCCTGATTATTACCCACACGATGAAGACTGCCCGGAATGCCTAAATTTCCGACAAAAACCCCAGTGCTCAGCCCTAAACACTGGATGTCCCCAACCCCATAGCCCCAAACAGTGGGACCCTACAGCCCGAAATCTTCTCGGTCAACAGGCCCGAAGCCTCTCACAGACGTTTCAGGAAGTATGGGACTGAAGAGGAGTCTGAAACAAGAATCGAGAAATCAGAGTGCATGAGCTTTGGGATTTAGGCTTCTGGTCTCGCGTGTTTGACAAGAAACAAGAGTCCCTTGCAAAAAGGCAAGAATCACAAGAGTCCCCTTAAACCCTAAACCCCTAA